AATAACTGCCATACTAGTTGACTGCTATCTGATTCACATCCAACATCACGTTACTTATAATCCTGATGTTGTTGTTTATATAAATATAATAAAAGGAAGTCAGTGTGATATGTCCTCTACGGCATACCATCCAACCTCCTCAATAAACTCCAACATATCCAGAACTCTGCTGCCCGCCTCCTCACCCACACCCGCTCCCGAGACCACACCCGCTCCCGAGACCACATCACTCCTGTCCTCCAGAACCTCCACTGGCTCCCCGTCTGTCAAAGAATCGACTTCAAAGTCCTCCTCATTACTCACAAAGCCCTCAACAATCAGCCCCCCCCCCTACCTCACAGACCTGCTGCACCACCACACTCCTTCCCGCTGCCTCCGCTCATTAGAAGCCAACCTCCTATCCATCTCCACCCGCACCAATCACCGGACCTGGGGGGACAGAGCCTTCTCCGTCGCTGCCCCCTCCCTCTGGAACTCACTCCCCCAACCCATCAGAGACCGCACTGACCTCACCACCTTCAAAAAACGTACAAAAACTCACCTCTTCAATCTGGCTTTTAATGTGTGATTGTTTTTGTATTATTTGACTTTAACTTTAACTATATATTTATTTGTTGTTCCTTTCTTTTCTTTTATTTTCTCTTCACTATATATGTAAAGCGTCTTTGAGCACCTGTAAAAGCGCTAACAAATTAAATCCATTATTATTATTATATAACATAAACAAATATGGAATGAAGCTGGTGACATATCTTATCTGAGAATTGCCTGATAGGAATAGAAATGTAAAGAATGTCAAAGAAATGGAGAGCTAATGAACTATCATTAATATCTGAGGATTAGTGTTTATCTCTGTGGTCTCTACTGTGAGCCTGGGGCTAGGAAATAAATGCCAACATCATGTAAGGGTGGGGATGACAGTTGTTGCATAATCGCAGACGAAAACATTACTCTAATAAGATGCCAGCATGTTGACATTCAAAATAATTCTTCCTTCTGGCATTCACTGTAATTTCTAATTTGGGAAACCGGCTTCAACCTAGGGTACAAAATCATCTAAAAGAATTTCCATTTTAGCCGAACACCAATGCACACATAAACCTACACTGTATGGGACAGAGAGACAGACAGGCACACAAAGAACAAGCTGACACATCAAAATGAAAAGACAAGACAGGAGAGGGGCTAGAAAGAGGCAAGCAGACAAAACACAAAATGAACAAGCAGATGATACACACAAGTGGACAGGAGCACAAACAGGTCTAGGTAGAAGTCAGAGTGAGGCGCACACAAATACTAACGGTAATAAAGACAGACAGATAGACAGGGGGGCAGGCATACAGGTCATGTTGTGGGTCAGACAGAGACGGGCAGACAGATAGATAGATATGAGCATTTGTTTTGCTCTCTACATGACGCTGGCGAAGCAGTTCAGGGGCTCTGGCCTGTGTTTATCTCATCACGTTTGTGTCTACACTTATTTGTATGTGTGTATGCTCAAATACACACATCTTTAGAGACATTACAGTCTGCCCAGCTGCAGGTAAGATACCTTTGAATGTGATGCAGTAAGTAACCTTATAACACAACACCATCATCAAGCATATAGCAGCTCTTCTCTTTTTGAAATTAATGTATTTTTATGCATGTTCCTTGTTCAATAAAGATATCTATTAATAAAAAGTCATTATAAATGCAAAAATAACAGGAAATAGAGAATTCCTGATTGTATCTGTTTTATATCATCTGACACTGTATTATTAGACTAAGAAGAAACAGTGATGGACATTTTTCCCTTTTTTTGGAAATTCTATGGATCAAACGGTTGTGATGTTGTGCAGGATTACATATTTAAGAACAATGGTTACCAACTATACTGATTATGAGCTAAAATGGTGAATCAGCATTCAAGGTCATAAGTACATCGTCGCCCGCTCAACTGCTATCTGCTTGAGCTGTATTCCTATTACTGATGCAACAAGCTTACTCTCAATCTCTCTAAACAATCTCAACATACGATACGATCGTACACAGAAATATACATTAAAAACCCACATTTCTTCAGCCCTTTTACACCGTCCTACTATTGCCACTTAACTACAAGTTAGTCACATAACACTCACACAGTGTCTATTCCTTTGAACGTTATTCAACACTTTACTGGTAAATAAGATTATGCTGATATAAAATGCTGACTGTTGCATGGTGGGCATCGGGCAACCAAAAAAGTGTTTCCTGCCGTTGTGTCACGTTGCTTTTAAAATGAACATTATTCGTTTAACAGACTTAGTAAGCCTGTATGCTCAGTTTATCTGATGGAGCTGATGCCAAATCTGGACTGGTACTTCCCGTATGCAGCAGCAGGGACCCTCATACCAAATGATTAGGGGTTCACCGGGAAAGGATCGGTTAAATGTCCATCAATGCCCTGCATTCAGATGTGTGGGTGAACACCATGTCCAGACAAGGATAGGGCACAAAAGAGGGCTAGGACATGATGCACACACACACACACACACACACACACACACACACCAACACACACACCACACACACACACCACACACCACACTAACACACACACACAACACACCACACACACACACCACACACACACCACACACACGACACAACAGCACACACACACACACACAAACACACACACACACAACACACACACCTACACACACTACACAACCACACACAACACACACACACACACACACACACAACACACACACACACACACACACACACACACACACACCACACACCACACACACACCACACACACACACACCACCACACCACACACACACCCACACACACACAACACACACACACACACACACACACACACCGAGGCTGAATACAGAAAGCACACCAAACTAATTAGGAGCTGGCACATGAGTATGGATGTGTGCACATTTTTAAAACAGCGCTGAGAAGAGCACATGAGAAGATAAGCATTCCTACCAGGAACAATACCAACGTTAATTAATTTAATTATTTCCTAATTAACACTCATAATGTTGAGTACAATTATGCAATGTGTTTCAATACTCTATTCAACATGTTTAATTGTTTGTATAAAGTCTTTTTGTGTCTTAGTTCTATTTGATCAATACACATTTTACGCTGTGCATTCCTCATTGTGCTGAATAAGATGAATCCTCTTGCTGTCCTTTAACTGTTCTTGGCTACCTTTGCCACCGTCTTGCTCAGCGGAGACTAAATAAACACGCAAATCTGTCTGTCAGAGGCAGATAAAGCTGCACGGGTTACACTTTTCTCTGTGTGTTGGTTGGCTGAAACCTGGAATGCTTTACTACTTCTGCAATAAATTCCTATCCAACTTTCTGTCCAATGGTTGCTATCAATACAGTGGCATTGTGATCCGTTGTTATTGTTGCCATGAATTGAGTGAAAGTGAGATTCCCTACATACTCTCCATGTTCATAACGTGGCTCCCACGCTATTTTGATTTAAACTTCAATTTGAGTCTTTTTTTAAACTTTTAATATCAAAATGTTTCCAAGGTCACATGCCAGAGAGAGATGTAAAGCAAAAAAAAAGAGAGGTGACGAAAGGAGAGAAAGGAAAAGAGCAAGAGAGTAAAGGAAATGGGAGGGAAAAATGGTCACCGAAGAAAAAGAGAGTGGGGGAGAAGAGCAGAGGGGAGGAGAAGGGAGGAAAGGGCAAGACCAACATCTTGTCACCACCTGGGACCCAGCTAGCTGCCCGGGGATGTTGCCTTTACATAAGAACAGTGGACAAAGCTGCAGCGAGAACAAAAAATGACAGACCAACACACTGTTCTCAGCACGCAGGGCGGGGGGGGAAACCATCAAAACACATGGCCGCACAGAGAGACCTACACAGGCACACAGTAATGAAACTGAAACAGCAACAAACTGAAACACTAGTTGTTATTTCTGACTAAACACACAGACACAGGTCTGCAGAAAAGAACAATAGGCAGAGGTTCTCCACTTTAAAATAGAATTCACTGTAGTTTGCCATATGTTGCCATATATTCATTGTCCTAAGTGTTTTAGTTGTTTAGCCTTTAAGGTTCTTTGTATATTTTAAGATTCATTTGGTGTAAATAATTGTCTTTATTATTCTTTTTTAATGCTAAATATGTTCTTCAAATGTATTTTCTTAGAATTGTTTATGTTCGCACAACCAGACCCCAAAGCAAATTCCTTGTATGTGTAAACGTACCTGGCAATAAACTTGATTCTGATTCTAAGGTAATAAGAAGGCCAAGCAGCTGTGACAAAACTGAAAATAACCCCATATGCAGTGAATCATAATAATTAAAACAATTATGATTATGCTCATTTCAGAGCTGACATTGTGTTTAGCAAAAAAAAGCACGTTTCTGAATCCTTTTTAAATCAAACCTCATGAAATATGACTCTAGGTTTCTCTTAGAGAGTGTGTGTCTTCTTCCACAAAAGTATTGAGTTTTTGTAAGAAGTTGAGGATGACGAGTTTTAAAAGTAACATTTATACACAAGAAATGTTTCCTTGCATAAACCTTTGACTTGCATAACGCCCAAGGTCATCAGCTGGCATGACCTGACAGTGGCTAGCATCACAAGTAGATAGCACATGAGAGATAAACTCATGAAACAGGGCCATCAGGGGCCCCTGAGGTGCACTTTTGAAAAGCACAGAGGACAAAAACAGAAACACATGTGCTCCTCCTAGCACAAAACAACACAAACAAGAAATTAATAAGAGATCAAAACGCAAAAACAGACAAGTCCAACCTATAAAAGCTTTACAAATCTATCTCAGTGATGGCTTCTGCTTTGACCAATTTGGAAATAATCAAAAAGTGCGCACCTCGCTCTGATGCATCCTTAAATGATGGGAGCTGGTGTATGAGTCATCATCTCGAAGGACAGTTTACACCAACATTAGAGGATCATGGGACTTTAGTATGTCGCAGCCATCTTCACAAAGACAATACTTTTGCGTGGTCTTACCTTTGTGATGAGAGTGCGGTACTCTTCAACCTGGTGGTCATTATTATGGCAGCCTGCCAGGAGCTGCCACACCTCCCCACGGAGCGCCTCAGGGATGCCGCTCCGCACCAAAGCTGGCAGCTGCCTGGGACGCACTGATAAGTTCAAATGCCTAAAAGAGAAAAGAGGAGAGGAGAGATGAACCATTGTTTTTCAAATGATACACATTTAATGTCACAGGCTGCAATGTTTGTGGGCACACCTGCCTATCAAATCTACCAAAAACAAAGTTGTCAATGACCCTTCATTTCGACTAAATGGACCATAATCATCTCCACGGGTGTCCTGCTGGATTGTATCACCTAAAACGACATGTATAAGGATTTACAGGCATAGAGGTCTTTCAAAAGTTCTTCCCTACTTCCCACCAGGGGATGTTATCAATCAAACACTCAAATGGCACTGTTTTAAAATGTGCTATTTTTGACAGAAACAATGTGATACTTTATGTGTCCCGAAAATCCTTTCTCAACTTTATTACCCCACATTTTTTCCTCTGACACTTCTACATTAGTTTTGCACTATTTTTAGCAAGAAAGGAAAACAATAGACAATAGAAGACAATAAGTGATTAGAGAATTACAACAGAAAAACACAGAGGCACAATTTGATGCCTTCCTTCCTTCCTCATCTTCACATTGAAATGCTGAAGCTGAAGGCAAAACACTCCATCTCAGAGATTGATTTATACCGTGTGCAAATTAAAATGTACTCAAGTATCTGCCATGAAGAGGAGGCACAGTATCTAACTGACATCTCTCTCCTGACTTGAGTTGACAGAAATCCCCTGAATCCCTGATTATTCTTTCACTTTCCCCGACTTTCTTATTTTATCTCTCTATTTTCTGAGTTTGCTTGGTTTATTTGTTTCCGAGCGCCAGGTTATGCAATACGTGGCATTTTATCTTGGGACTAAGAAAGGGAACAAAAGTATACTGTGTACGTGGGTGTACTTGCATGTGTGTGTGAGTGCATGTGACGTAAGTAATGCCAGGCCTGGTCCTTAGGGGCATAAGATTGTAAAGGGCTTTCTGTGATTTGCCTCTCTGTGCTCCCTGAGCGCTGCATCCCACAATGCCACAGCACACACTCTGGCTCACACAAACTTAAGTCACCAATCACTTGCACAAAGCCTGGTATTATGAAAGGATAGTCTTATGATTCCTATTTGTATGTAGGTATTATGTTTTGTCAGAGAACTGAGACAAATAGCCCCATTTCAACTTTGGGCTTCATCAAACAACATTGTAAACACCTTCAAAATATGTTATTATTAATAAGTATAATTACATTGAAGATACCATTGTTTCTGGCAGTTTTACTTCAGTTCAGCCCAAGTGTTTGACTATAAGATAAATGCAGAAATGGAAGAGGGTAGTCATCTTAATACGCTGCTAATCAAGGACTCCTTCGAGCTGCTCCTTCTATCACATAAGGGAAACCAAGCATACAAAAATAAATGTGTGTCTGTGTGCAATCAATAGAAGAGGAAGAACAACAATTTGAACAAAGTCTTACCACTTTGTTAACAAGTCCCCCCAGGTCTCCAGTATTTTCTCTGCACACTCCTTGGAGACGTCACCTGAGCCGCTGAGTAACGGCTCATCATTATCTGGAAAACACAGGAAGTACAGACAGGAAGAGACATCCATTATTCTCCTTTTAAATTCTTACATGTTTATATTTGTCCTTTTACTTTTCCAAATGTGATACAATTAACCAGAGTGGATGCATGTGACATTACATAATTAAGGTATTAAGGACTTCATTCAGAGAGATTTGTTTAAGATGATTCATAAATGTACAAAATCCACTTATTTGAAGATGTGTAATTCAATTTGTATATCACAGGCTGGGTTTCTGATTGGAAGTTGTGTAATCATGTATTTTTTGTTTGATCTGAGCTGCAGCTATAATAACATTCATCTTGAAAAACAACTCTCTTTATTAACCATGTTGTATCTGCTTAACCACATATACTGTACCTAAGTGTGGGATTTTATATCCTATGGACATTTTAGGGTCTGCTGAAAAGGGTATTTATTAGGGGACTATTTATACTGTATGTACGCTGGTATTCAATTCAATAATAACAAAAACAGGCTTGGAGCATTCAATGGACATGCCGTCCACATAGAGAGCTCATACTGTACCAAGCAGCCAACCGATAAGAACGGATACAAAACATACCTCAATTATGTTCTCTGTCTCCCACAATCACAGAAACACACACACACAATCACAGAAACACACAATCACAGAAACACACACACACACACACACACACACACACAACACACACACACACACCACACACACAGCACACACACACACACACAACACACACACACACACACACACACACACACACACACACACACACGCACACACCACACACACAACACACACACACACACACACACACACACACACACACACACACACAACACACACACCACACACACACCACAACACACACACACACACACACACACACACACACACACACACACACACACACACACACACACACACACCACACACACACACACACACACACACACACACACACACACACACACACAACTGCTGTACTTTGTGAAGATACAGCACAAACAGTTCCCTAACACAGCATCTGATCTCCCACAGGATTCTAACTCAAGTCTAAATCTGGTTCAGGCCCATGGGATAGAGTTCTTATTTTTCTTATCAGTCATCAGGTCAGGATATGTATGTTAATGGAGAGCGCAAAATAGAGGAAGCATAATTCAGCTGGGTTGCATGCTTCTACTTTATCATTGTGTTTTGGAGGTGCTTCTTCCTGAGGTCAATGCTGATGAGGGCAGCACAATGGCTCATCATTACCGGGTACAAAAGTAAATTGTTTGCATTATCTTGCCAGTTAAGTGATTGAGGGTTTTAAATCTTCAAACCCTTTTCATATGGTTCTTATAGTCAGACTTCTTCTGTGGTTCCTGTGTTTGCAAAGAATATTTCCATATGGTTTGTAAAAGCAAAGTATACCCGTTGCTATATGGAGTGCGTTTTTAAATAATTTGCTATCTTTGCTTTTGTGTGTCTTTAATATAAAAAATAATCCCAGAAGAAGTGACTTGAGTAGGATGGTTTCCAATCACCTTCCTCTTCATCATCCTCAGGTGGAGAAGGGACCGTGGTACCTGTGGGCATGATGTCGGGACTCGCCGTGGTCTTCCGTCTCTCCCTTTCTGTCTCGCTCTCCAAACTCACCACCTCATAAAGTGTGTCAGAGGCAGGACTCTTACGCTCCTTACGCTCCATCTGAAAAGAAATGCATTACAGAGACATCAGATAAACTCCAGAAGAAAGTGTCAAGAGATCCTAATGGTAAAAATATACAGTGCTTTTTCATTCTTTTTTTCAAATATAACACAATCTCAGCCCACGGTTTGCTTTGAAATACTTTAGGTCAGAGCAGATATTTGGTGTAAGTCACAGAGACGTTGGAATGGAAAATCGTGCCACGACCTGACATACCTGTCGTAGTTTAAGGTAGAAGGTCTCAGTGTAGTTGCGCTTGCTGAAGGGCCAGAACAGCCGGTCATTTGGGGAGCAGACTCTGACCCTCGTCTCCAGCAGGAAGCGCACCGGCTCCTCCACCTCTGTGATCACCAGGTCCACTGCTGTCGTCATGTACATGAATTTGTCTGGTAAAAAGAAATAGTCAAAATGTTTATCCCCAGTGGATGATTCTCTTCTTTTCACCATCAATAACAAATTCATATTGAAACAACTGTGTGATTATTGGGAACACTGTGTATGAAAAGGAAATGGCGGTGCATGTTGTATGGCGCGAGGGACGAGTATGTTACAAAGTACTAAGTCATTTGGTTGTCCTTATTATTTTTTCAGATATATTTATACGTGACCTGTTCAAATATTGTAGCTTCTATATTTGACTTATTAACAGGGATGGCAATTATTTCAGTTCACTGTCCATAAATTGCTCTTTAACAGCTTGATTTGAGGATTTGTTTGAATTTTGGGACTTAGAAATAAGTCAAATATCTGTGTAAAAACATGTTTCAATAAAAAAACGAATTAGCCAATGAGCCAACAAACCATGAAAATAATAACTTTTTAAAAAAAATCTGTTTTATGTGAATTTTCTACATTTCTTTGGCTGTCACCTTTGGGCGTTTCCTCATTCACAGGCTGGAACTGAGGCGTGTTGGGGTTCCAACTTCCTGTGATGATGTAAGACTTCCCATCGGAACTCTTTCCCATCGACTCCTGAAGGGGCACCAGTCGGAAGAAGTTAGTTAGTTTGCAAACACACGCAAACACAAAATGACACACATACACACACATATACACGGTTACCCACCAGATCTAGCAGGTGCATGTCGCTGTTCTTCACATTTTTCCCAGGGCTGAGCAGGAGACCGAAACACCTGGAAGGGGCACACATGAAAGCACACAACACACACATGACAAGGAGAGAGAAGAAAAAGTGTTATGAATAGGATTACATAAGAAAAAAAGGAAAAAAAACAGAGCGAGAGCCAGACACAGAACAATAAATCCCTCTATAGAGTACGACCAGTTGAAAAACATCACATGTTACCGCAAATAGCTTCCTGCGCTGGTCCTGTAACGAAGACCAGAACATCGAGAATATTAAACACAGCGCTTCAATCCTCACCTTTCTCTGGGCTCATCTAACAATAACAAACCACCGTGAAAATGGAAGTCTGCTAAAAAGGTGATGGAATGTTTACACTTCAGCAGATTGATCAAACCATGGAAAATGAGGAGCCTCTGGGACAGACTCAAATCAATCACAGTCTTAAAACTGTGCCGGAACACTTAAAACCTGACGCAGGCCGACAGACGGATGTAACAAATGTTCACCGGTGTGTGTTTATCAATTAAAGATGACTGATTGCTTTCTTGTGAATGTCTGGCCGTGTTTTAAGCTGACACATCTCAACTTAACGCAAATACAGGAATCTCAGTTAGTCTGACAAACGTAAGATAGATTCTTTCCTTAGACATTTATCTTTCAGGAGAATGCCTAAGTGACATGTTTTAAGTCATTTTCTGCATTCCCTTGGGTTAACATTCATCTATATCAAATCTCTTCTGCATGCTTTTGTCGTTAAAACTCATATCTGTCGTTCTTGTTGTACTTCAGAACAGGTTTCCTGAAAGCAGTGCTGTCTTTACAACAGATGTTGACTTGGTTAATGAGAACAAAACTTTAAACCAGTTCCTCTAAGGATGCACCAAAGTGATGTGTTTGTGCTTTATTTTACCTTTCAATGGCCAGTTCTTTATTGCAGGTTTGTTGGACATAAATGACAATTTTCTTGTCCATTCCTGCACGCAGCTTGAAGCTCTGCTTGTCCTTGTCCTTTGCTACAGCACTACATATGTGAAAGAAGAAAATAAAAGATCATTAATAGAAAGAAGAGAGATACATGTGACATAATTATTCCTAAATGATGCAGCAGACACAGTGATGGTTTGAAATGACACAGTAAGGAAGATTCATTATCATTTAAGAGAGCTAATGAAATTAAAGTCATTTTAGGTCATATTTGATCACAGATGAATATAAAGGGAAATAATAATCCTGCAGTTTCATGTTTCTCCAGCTGGACAACTTTTACTAATGAAATGTAGCAATTATTACTCAAACAGGGAAAATAACTAAAGACATTGACTCATATTTAGAGTAAACCCATGTACTTTACTAATAGTAAACATGGGAATAAGGGCCATTTCTAAACATACTCTGCTTTAAAGGTGGGGTAGGTAATTTTGGAGAAACCAGCTCGAGTGTGCTGGAATTTGAAAATACACAGCCAGAACAAATCTGCCACTTCCTTACAGAGCCCCTCCTCCAACACACACAAACGCGCACATGACCAATGAGGGCACGAGATAAGTTTGTGCACAGATGGAAGGCTGACAGGCAGGTAGGCCATCCAGTTATTTTAGCCGGGCTGGCTCAAATGATTGGTCGTGCTTTTTACAGTGTTACGGCTTCCACAGATGAAATATTTTAATGTATTTATTGTCAAAGCATTTAATATATTAATTGCTATCGGGATGTTAAGAGCATTCCATGGAATATAACAAAAAGTGTTTCTGAAATAAATTACATACCCCACCTTTAGGAGCAGGATATAAACCAGATTTGAGACAGAAACAGTATTCAACATTCCCCAAACCTTCTTGTGAATACACTTATGAGGAAACACTTGAGTACCTTAAGCACGACGATTTTTTCAGTGGAAAAATATCCATAAATCAATTTGAAATCTATTGTTAACATTTGGAACCTGGCAGTGTTCCAGGTATTTTTTTTGTTCCTGACGAATTTTAGGCAGTGCTCAGATCACAGAAATGTGCCTTTGTGTGAATAGTTAATGTACAGCATGGTCAACTATTCAACTACGTCACGGTTTTACCCCAGATTCTCTCACTGCAGATACATTGGATTGGCAACACCCTATTAAACAATATTCTTAAAACAAATTATGATACTTCTGCTTTTCCAGATATTATACTAAATACAGTTTCTATAGAGAATACTTTTTACGCTTTACTTCTACAAATAAATTCTTCCACCCAAAAAGAGTCAATGTGTGCTTGCATGTGAGAGTTGTTTGCTTGGAAGTCAGCGCACTAAAAATAATCAACCTACAGCTAATGAGGAGGAAATATGTGCCAGTTAAATGTAACCACAGGCCTAATTTTGCTTGTTTTGTTTCCAACTAAGAGTATCTAGGGCTGTTTGTGAAAACACAGAAGTGACTCAGAACGGGGAAACCAAAAAAGAAAAAGTCAGGGAAGATGAGCTGAATAGAGCAAACACACAAACTGCGTGAGCTCTTATCAATGTGAGAAAAAGATTGTGATTTTAATCTGTAAGGACAGAATGTCCGTCTACTGTGAGACACAAAGGACTCCCTAGCTTTTATCTTTCTTCTCTGTTCCTCTGTGTTCTTTTCATCATTTAAGAGTTACTCTATTTCATGTTTTTTTCCCTAACATTACACCCCTAAAAGGTTTATCATGAGTTCTGTAACTGAAAACGGTTTAATTATGTTTCCACACCTTTGTGCAACTCCATGTGCATTAAGACAATTTACACCACTTCGTAACCATCATAAATGATGATTCCATGCTCAGAACATCTACATAATTGACCGTATTGTCTCACCTGAAAGTACCCTTGCCATCATCCTCTCTGATTTCCTGGCTGACGGTGAAGGTAAACAAGTCGCTGTCAGGCGTGAGCGGCGCCGGCTGCTGAGAGGAAAGAACCGCCTTCTTCGCTGAGCGCCGAAACGCCGTGGCAAAACTGTACAGTATCCTGCTCACCTGCAGGAGGAACACACACAAAAGGTTTAAGACAACATTAAGGCAGTATAATGAGGACAGCTAATAGTACATATATTAGCAATAATCAACAAAAGTGTTAGTTTAAATAAGCATCCCTGGCTTTAATCAACTGTAGTCAACAGCAGCATCTTGGTAGTAATTATTTCCTTACTGACATTTACGGAAATGCTTTTCCACTCACATGATTATTGACTATTACTTTACAGACATGATTGCAAAAAGATTGTTTCCCAGAATAGGATCCCTGATCATCTCTAATTCTATTAAATAGCAGAGTTTGGGGGGTTAGTGACTGAGAGATGATGTGGGGAAACTGCTGTTATTAATACATAACAGCTTTTCTTAGATTTTCCCAAGGCCAGAGTATAAAGCAGCTTCTAACATCTCCAACAAAAAAGCCTTTGTTTTGTTCCCGCTGCAGTAGAAGGATGTTAGGACATCCCAGGGGGTTGTTTATTGAAAAACAACAAGGGGCTAGATAAGTGGAGTTAGAGGGGGTCACCCTCTGTATGAAATGATGTTATTAAAAACACGATAATTGTTGTTTTGTATGGTTCTGATTAATGCTAGTTAAAGTGAACAGTTTCCGCCGTTTCTAAAAAAGTGCCCTTAAACTTGACAAATCTTGTTATATCGGGTGCTTCTTTTCTAACAAAGGGAAACCATTGGTTCCTCTTTGTAAAGTAGACACTTGACATTTGATTTAAATGAGTGAGTGAAATAAATCTATTAGATTAGCAGCACATTTATAGGCAAAAAATGGAAGTCAGTGGGGATCTTCATCACCATCACCAGCAGAAAACTGTGAATTCTTAGAAACTAGCTTTGGGGTCTGTCTTGGAGGTCCGGCCCAAAGGAAGAGTAAGAATGAGGAGGTTGTTTGCTTTGTGTACGAACAGTTCAGCTCCAAAACCCACAAATCTGCTTAGGAAAGGATATTTCTGCGTACATGTTAAGAATTCTAAAAATACATGATGAGAGAAGGACATTATTTGTCTGAAGTATCTCATTTCTCTTTCCAAAATGGTCATATTTTTGAAATTAGGGGGAAAAAGTAATCAGATGCTCTTTACAATTTCATTAAGTAATGGGGTCAATTGCTTAAAGCACAAATGAGACAGCTGGGTGAACAAGGCCATAAATAGTTTTAGTACAGCTGTGATGTTCTGCCAGAAGGTCAGCTCAGTACAGATCGGTGATGAAATGATTGAATAAACACAGCGCATTGCAAAGTCTTACACGTTTTTTAAACAATGGCTTTGAAGCTAAATTGAGACAAATGACTAGGGCATCCTTTTTTCTGAAAAAGCAGGAAACCAGCTGGCTGGCTAACTCCTGTTTAATAGTTCCAATGAAAGTGCCCCTTCCAAAGAAAACGGTTAAACATTCTGCATTTGGTGTGTGGCTGGGGTTTGGAAGGAAGAGGAGGGCGTGAGGAAGAGGAAGAGATGGGAGAGAGAGAGACGAAGACAGAGATGCCCGGTTTCCAAGTAACGAATTGAATCACTAGGGGATTAGAAGAGTGTGGGTTTGTGTGTGTGTGTGTGGTGTGTGTGTGTGTGTGTGTGTGTGTGTGTGTGTGTGTGTGTGTGTGTGTGTGTGTGTGTGTGTGTGTGTGTGTGTGTGTGTGTGTATATGCATTAGTGTTTTAGTGTGAGCATGTGTGTTACCATGAGTGAGAAATCAGGTCACTGAACACTGAAGCATAACTTTAACCCAGTTTCAAGACTCGAATCACTATCCCCTTCCTTTATATCTCTAGTGAGCCTACTGTTTATAAGCAATGGCTCATCTTCTCCCATTTAAGTTAGCTGGAGGGATTGTGTGTACTTTGGTGTTTGTGTGTGGCGGTACATGGGCATTGCAGCGCAGCAGTGCAGTGCCTGACATAATCCCTCAGGGAGCACTGACGAAGCTCCCAGAATGCCGCTGAACCCCGGGGAACAGGCTGGAGGGAGATCAACATTCAACCACAAGGTCAGGCAGAATCCTGCTGACAATATGAGTGTGTACTTGTGTAAATGTGCATGTGTGGTGGAGACAGAAACGGTGTGAAACAAAAAGTGGCATATGAGATGAGGAGCAGTGCATTTATAAGAGGAGCTTTTGCGCCCCCTTTGGTTCAATATTGGTATAGCAGTAACATTGGTTAATAAATTGTGGTTTAGTGATAAAGGTTTGTTCAGGTTTTGCTATCTGTTACCGCCCCAGATGTTCATAAGTTCCCTTACTTTCACTTGTAATGGAAGTGATGTAGGCCACTGTCGTCATTTTGTGCAAAAATGCATTCCGAAGTTTCGCTAAAGTTTTGTTGACTTTTGAAATTGTCAACCTATCCATTAAATGTGTCGTCAGTAACCATAGTTAAACTAAAATTACAAATATCAATTCATTAATGACCGAATACTCACCGCTTCATGGATTTGGCAGCGGAACACGTGGATCCTGAAGATCTCGGCGTTGAAGTGGCTCTCAGTGAAGGCAAAGCAGTCGCTCTCTGGTGTGCCATCATGGCCGCGCACACAGAACAGAATCTTGTATATCGGGTAGTTGGCGATCTCTGTACTGGTGTTGGGGTCCAGCAACCTTTTAGAAAATCAATAACAAATATATCTGTTTGATGCCTTAATAGAAGCTGTAGATTACATACATTCCCAAAATCCAGGATTCTATTTAAGTTTGGATTTCAAGCCCAGGATTTGTTCGCATTTCTTCAGATTTGTTTTCTCCAGAGACAAAGAGGAAACAACATTTGGAGAATTACCTATACTATTTTTGATTTTGCTTTGAAATGTAAAGCTCATTTTAATCGTTTTTTTTGGTTTAGAATCAATATCATGACACCTCTGATAATGTGCATATGACAACCAATCAAACATTTAATACGCAATAAGATATGCATATTGTTTGTGTATGTTACATCCCACTGTAGAACTGAATCCAATAATCTGTACGTTCTCCGTACCTGACAGTGCCTTCAGACACGCCTGGCACAGACAGTGTGACGTCCAGGGGGAGTTGGCACTGCCCTCTGAGGATACTCATCATACGGAGGGCCTCCAACTCACTGCGGGGGGCGTTGACCGAGGCACAGCCCAGATATGTCAGCTGGCTGAACACAACGCTGTCTTCATCTGGGATGGGACTGCTAGGACTGCCCTCTGATGAGGATTCATCTGCTGCAGAGGGGCAGGGTGTAGGGAGGGGTGGAAAAAGGTGAAAGGATAGAAAGAAATCTGATTACTTTATGAATTCCATTATGATTTCATGGCAAACATCAATATTATTTTCTGCTGAGAAAGGCATAGTTGCCTTGTGCAAAGTAGAAATCAGGTGAATTAGACAGTGAATGTGTAGAGGGGAGATAGGTGAGATAAACATTCATATTTATCACTGAAATTCAGGCAACAACTGAAAGAAGGAGACAATAAGATGACAGAAATGGCAAAAAAAACGTGTCTGATACAAATATAAAAAGAGGCAATGATAGAAGTTGACTGACTTCAAGTATTCTGTATGATTTAGAATCCTGTGATATTCCTCTGAAAGGCTTAGAAACCCATCTATAAAGCTGAAGATAAGAGCCATTGTGTGAGCTCTTTGTCAGTCACAAGTAAGTAGAATAAGAAAAGTCCCATCATGCCTCACCTCGGTACGACCTCTCGTTCAACTCGCTCTCCTGTGCCGTCTGAACAGGAAGCACCATCTCCAGCTTGGGTGGCGGAGCGCTCAGAGGGTCAGAGCCCGGCGCTACGGGTGACGCTGTCGTAGCAACAGAGCCGCGGTCGCCCTCTCCTCCGAGGGTCTCCATTCCTGCTTCTGACCTGAGTCCAGTGTCGGCTACCGAGGGGTCCATGAGGACATCCTCTAATTCTCTCTGGAGCTGCTGCTCACTCCCATTCCCCACAATCTGACACACACACACACACACACCACACACACACACACACACACACACCACACACACACACACACACACCACACACACACACACACACACACCACACCACACACACACACACAAACACACACCACACACACACACACACACAACCACACACACACACACACACACACACCACACACACACACACACACACAACACACACACACCACACACACAACACACACCACACAACACACCACACACAACACACACACCACACACACACACACACCACACACAACACACACACACACACACACA